AGCCCCAGGCCTGTGGGCGGCAGGCCAGGCAGGCGTGGACGCGCCCTGCTCCCTGGGCAAAGGCCTTCCCGGTCGCCATGGCCATCCTCGGAGAGCGTCCACCCACGGGACGGTCCCAGACGCTGAAGCCCCGTGAGGGAAAGACTTGCCCACGGTCCCTGAGAGCTGCAGGCGGAGGCTGCGAGAGGAGGAAGGGCGGGAGGGGAAAGCGGGGGGAGGGACTGCCGCTGGAGCAGGACCCCGGCACCCTGTCCGGCGCCTCCGCTGCCCCTGAGCTCGTGGGACACCAGCCCGCTGCTGCCCCCCGAGGGCTCTGTGGAGAACTGCAGCCCCAGCCCTCTGGACGCCCAGGGCTGGAGGGACGGAGGGCGGGACAGACCCCCCAGGACAGGAAGCCGACCTGGAGGCGTCTGTGGCCCCATCTTGTCCGCGCCCTGAGGTCCTTTGGGGAACCGGGCCCCAGGAAAGTGTCAGAACAGTGGCCAGGAGTCCAGCAAGGCGCAGGGAGCCCCCGCGGACACCATCCGGAGTTCTGCCCGGCGAGAAAGTGGCAGCAGAGGGACTCTACAATCCTGGCCGCCCCAGCGGCGCCTGGTCCCCTCCCCCTGGCCCGACTCAGCCAGCCCCCCATGCCCATGCCAGGTCCAACACTCCGCTGCGGGTGCCACCCCCAGCGACGTCCCGGTGACACTGCGCATGTGAGAGGCCGAGGGAGGACCGGTGCGGGCTGAGAGGCCCTCAGCGAAGCCTGACCCCCCCTGGAGTGGAAACCCCCAGAGCCACCGCACACGCCAGCCCGCCCGACAAGGGCGTCAGGCAGCACCCACACCGCGGCTCTGGGCCCAGGTCAGCTGGATCCCCGGCAGGTTGAGAATAAACTGCTGCCCACCTTGAGGACCGGCCAGGCCCAGGGGTGCCGGGAACTGGAGCTGCTGGGCTGGGGACCCAGGGGGACCTCCCCTCCACCAGGTCCGTAGGTGGGGCTCCCGGGGCCAGCGTGCGGTCACCTCATCCCACGCCCCATCGCTCCTGCATTCGGGGTGGCTGAGGCCGGGGACAGTGAGAGGCGCAGCTCAGGGCGAGTGGGGCAAGGGGGAGGTGGCCTGGGTTCCTGCACTGAGTCGGGTGTCCCTCAAAGAATCCACCCAGGAGGTCGAGGCTGAATCTAAGCCCCTGCCGCCCCCTGCCTCCCCCTCCCCTCTACAAAGCCCTGCAGACGTCACCCCGCATGAGCTGCCGGGGCCCGAGATGAAATGGGAAGACGGAGTCCGGGACGCCGAGGCCACTCAGCGAGGGCGGGGCCCTTTGGTGGCCCAGTCTGGAATCCAGCCCAGGCCGGCCATACGCAGCGAGGGGCCAGCCGGGGAGGGTCTGTCATCGGCACCGGACCCGGGTGCCCAGCTTGGGTGCTCTGAGCGTGGGGACTGGCCCAACCCCCTGGGATCTGGTCCCCAAGGCCCAGCCCCTCCCCCACAGGAGTCCCCTTCCTCGGCCAGGTGGGGCCCAAGAAACGCTCGGAAGATGGTGTCTGTCTCGGCACCAGCAAAGCACCCAGCCAGCAAGGCCCTTGGGCCGGGCATAGGTGAGACCCCGAGGCAGCCCAGTGCTGTCCCCACCACACATGGCATACCTGGGCTTGCACGGGAAGGAGGCCAGGTGGCGCTCAGCGCCCCTGAAGGCTGGCCAGTGGGCAGTGAGCGGTTGGCGTGGCCAAGGCAGGCCCGAGCTCTGTGAAAGGAAGACGCAGGGTGGAAGCTGCTCCGCCTCACCCCTGCCAGGTCCCTACAAGGCAGAAGGGCAGCTGGGCAGGCAGGGAGTGCAAGACCAGACTGGGGGAACCCCTGGTGGGAGGCCCAAACCAGGCAAGCTTGTTTTTTGTTTTGTGTAAAGGCGAGGAGGTCTTTTGCTCTGGCACCCAGGCTGGAATGCAGTGATCCAATCACAGCTCACTGCAGCCTCGACCTCCCAGGCTCAAACAAGCCTCCTGAGTGGCTGGGACTATGGGCGTGAGCTATCACGCCCAGCTAATTATGTGTATTTTTTGTAGAGATGGGGTCTTGCTACGTTGCCCAGGCTTCAGGCAAGCTTTCAAATGGGGGCTGTGTCTCCAACTTCTGCTGACTCAGGCCTTTATCTGCAAGAACTCAGGCTCACACATGCAGAGACCAGAGACAAAACATGCACACGTGGGAAACATACATGTTCAGTAACAGAGACACACGGAGACATAGCCCAAGCCGCTTGCCACACATACACAGACACGCAGTGGCCTCTTCTGCCGGGGGTCCCGCACACCTGAGACTAGCCTGTGCTGTCCACTCCCCACAAGGCACCGTGCCCCTCCCCGCCTCCTCTTTGACTCTGAGCAGAAGCCCAGGCTTGGGGGGGGCCGCTGGGCCGCCCCAAGGAACAAGGAGACAGCTGGCAATGACCCGGCCAGGCCCAGCTGTCCATCTCGGCGTTGATGGGGGAGTCTGTCCCTCCCTCGACGGGGACTTCAGGGCAGAGGAGACCCTAGGTTCACCTGGGGTCAAACGGGGCGCCCCACAAACTCCCCGCGCTGCCGACTCAGCCCCAACCCCTCGGCCCTCGGACCAGGCTCTCTGCAGCCGGGGTGGGCTGAGGGGCTCCAAACCCCCTGCTGAGGAGGCCCAGAGGCCAGTGTCCCAGCCCTTCGAGTGGGTGCTTGGGGGCATGTGAGGCACACAGAGACCAGACACCCACCTGGCAGGACAAGGTCTCGCTTAGAGACCATGCTGTTTCTCTGTGCACAGAAACAGCAGGCCCGTGGTGGCCTGGGGTGCCTGGCTGGTGGAGCGGCCTCTAGGCCCCAGCAGCAGGGCAGGAGCCCAGACCCTGGGTCTGCACCGCTGGGCGCGACGCTCAGGGTGGAGGGCAGGGCAGGGCCCAGCCCGCCCACCCAGGCTCCCAGGCCCTCAGCTCTGAGGAGGCAGGGAGGCCCGCCAACACAAACAGGCTGCGGTGTGGGCCTTCCTGCCGGCTCAGCCTCTGTGGGGCCGAGTCCACCCAGCCCTCACCCCGGGGGAGGGGCTCCAGGCGTGCTGGCACCCCACACACAGGAGCAGGGGCTGGCGTGTGCAGATCCTGTCGGGGCCATCCCCTCCCCCCAATTCTGAGCCTGTAGAGGCCGGAGACCCCCCTGCAGGCTCCCACCCACTCGGGGCACAGAGGGGGCCCCCGAGGTGTCCTCCTGGACCCACTGAGGCCAGCAGGAGGCTCACTCCTCCCCATCCCTCCCCAGCACCCCCAGGTATCTCTCTGCTGGGGGGGTGAAGGGGACACACGTAGGGTCTGGGGGGCTTTCCCAGGCACCCCAGACTCCAGGAGCAGCCCCGCCCTCCTCACCCCAGCCCTGGGCCTCATCCGTGCCACCCAGACCCCTACCGAGCTGTCTCGGGGTTGGGTCAGGCCCAGGTAGCTGGGATGGCAGATGGTGATGTCTCCAAATGCCACCAGCCAGACATGTGGGAGGTTAGGTTAGGGACAGTTCAGCTCACAAAGCCGGTCTGCTGGGCTACGGGAGATGCCCAACCATGGGTCCCCCACCCATGTGCTGCAGCATACCCACCCACCCACAGCAGCCCCAGATGGAGACACCTCTGTCTCTGGTGTGGGCAGAGCCTGAGGGGGGCGCGGGTGTGGGTGCAAAGCAGGACAGCCGCCACCACCACCCTCCCCCAGCCAGGGTCACACCCAGCCTGCTGGGGGAGGGATGGACCCTCTGGTGGGGGCTTCTGGCCCCACCTGAGCTTTATAGACAGGGAAACTGAGTCAATGCGCCAAGACCAGGGTGCAAGGTCTGCTGACTCTCAGCCCAGTGCTTCACCCCCTTCCCAGCGCCGCTCAACCCCAGCGGCTGGCCTGTTTCCAGGGCAACACCCGGGCGGGCTGGGCTCAGCAGCTAAAACTTCAATCACGGGTTTCCTGTGTCCCCTGCCGCGAAGTAACCGGCCTCTAGCAGGAACCTAGCGGGTTCCATCCCCCATGTAAGCACACCCACTCCCCTGGGACCGGTGCCTCAGCCCCATCGAGGCACAGCGCCCTGAGTCCCTGGGGCTCCCTCCTGCCCCTGCCGGCCCAGGCCCCCGCCTGCCCCAAGCAGGGGACACGCCACCCAGGGCCGAGGCTCCCGGGGTCCTCGGTGGAGCCTGGTCAGGGCTCAGGTCAGGCCTGAGCCACAGCAGAGCCGGGAGGAGCCAGTGCCCCAGGGGCCTCTGCGCACACATGGGGGCTCTGTGAGCTGTGGGGGCCGGGGACAGGCTCAGGCCTGAAGCTGGGGGGCCTCGGGTTCTCAGGGCCTCTCCAGGAGGCGGGGAGCAGGGACGCGCGCACACTCGGAATTCCAGGAATGTCCACTTGGCCGGGCCGGGTTTGGGAGGGAGGCTCGCTCCTCGGTTCTCCCCGCAAACAGCCTCCGGGCAGGAACCCGGCGGGCCACCGGGACCCTCCTCCAGGAAGCCTCTGGCCCCACCCGCTCCCAGGGGCCCCCAGACATCCCGACCGCCCCGCCTCCCTTACCTCCGCAGCCTTTGAAGCCGAGCCGTCTGACCCCAGGCCACCTACTCAGGCCCCTACCCTGTCCCTGCGGCCCGGGCAGGATGTGCGTCCACTCATCTGGGGGAGGGGAAGGGAAGTGGCCTCGGCTCGTGGCCCTGCACGTGGCCGGGTGGGGGATGGCGACACCACTAGGGAAGCTGCCCTGGCTCCGGCAGGGCGGGGGCAGTGGCTCCGGCCGGCCCCACCGTGGACCCGGGAGACCCTTCGTGCCCCTCCTCTGCAGCCAACGCCCAGGTCCAACACGGCCCCTCTGACCACCTGCCCCGGGTCCAGCAAGCCTGCCACTATGCAGCATCCCACCACCCGGCCACAGCGCCCCTATCCACACCCTCACTCTAGCCCCGCCTCTCACTGCGCGCTGACTCCCCACCCCTCTCCGGTCCCGGGGGCAGCCAGCGGGGCAGCAAAAGCCCGTCCCGGAGACAGAGGCGACCTGTCGCCTTAAGTCCTGGGTGGCCCGTCACCTCCAGGCTGAGGCAGACCTGTCTCCACCCGCTGGTCCTGCAGGCCAGCCTCGGGGTCCCCTTTGCTGGGGCCTTCAAGGTTCGGCTCAAAGAGCACCTCTTTCAGGGCGCCCGCCC